CCCTGCTTTTTGCTTTGCCTTTATTCGATGAGTTAGTTCAATGTTCTTTCGATTTGACTATCCTAAGTTTAAACAGCACTTATCTTCAGCGATCGCCATATACTATCATATTTGGGCAAGTCTTCTTGATGTAGTCTTTCTCCATGATTATTGTGATCCTTCCTTTGTCAGCTGGTGGCGTAACAATATTCCTTCTTTTTTTCTAGTCTCTTGTTTTGTTCTTGAATACAGTGCCTTCTCTGTGTGACCATAGGTACGATGGTTTGGAGTATTTCTTGTTGGGTTTCTTCATTCCAAGTCATCAAGAATGGATGATTATTTTAGGATGGCGAAGTTTGTTTATAAAGTGTCACCAGTATTGCAGTTTAGTCCTTTTGGAGTTGTTTTCTACTTTTGATGTTGGTTGCTTTGATGACTTCAGCACACCACTGTCTGCTGTTTTTCGGTTGATTGTTTGTAAACCTTGGTCAGACTTTCTTCAAAAATTCCTTCTTTTCGTCTTCTTGTGTTTTCTAACTGAAACTGTGGTAGAAATGTTCAACGCTGACAGATGCTCTTGGTTAAGAATTCAGGATGAGCTAAATGGAAAGTCTATTTGGTGCTCCTTAAACTTTAATGATTCTTTAACATAAACAACAGCTGGTAGATTCCCAACCAAAACTTAAAGAATATGGGGTGACATTCTTTGATTAGAACAGAGAAGTAATATTCAAGAGGCAAAAATCACAGACACAATATACCTCAAATTGAAGACTTACCTATGGAAGCTGGATTTCCAAGATTAGGTAAGAATGTTGGAGGTGAAGAATGAGGTTTTAACTCATCTGCAGTCACTTTCAAGACACTTAGACAGCTGACAGTTGGACTGAGAGAATGAGAAGTAACTGGTTTCGGTGTTTTATTACACTGAAGAGAATCTACGTAAGGCAATCGGCTTTGCTTTATAGAATCGCAGAATTGTTTTAACTCTTTGTTCAAATAAACACTCATTGCAGGCGCATGGTTTTTGCTCGAATACCAGTATCCACCAATCAATCGAGGAGACAAACGAGGATTATTATTCTCTAAATTTCGTGGAATACCTTCCGAATCAGGAATACAGAGTAGCGTAGAATCATTAGTCACAGAGTACTTGTCCTGGGAAGAATTTGTTTTTATAAGAAAGTTAACGTCTGGTGGCGTAACAGTAGCATAACGGCGTTGACGAATCCTATTCCCGATACCTTCCGGAGGTGATCTAATATGTAGGAAAAATTTCAGTGAAGTGGAACTTTAGATAGGACTAAACTAATACTAAGAAAACGATACTCTAGAATGAGATCCACTGTCAGTTAAATATCACTGCACAAATTATTCTTCGATTACATTTATAAACTCAATATTTTTACGTGACTGATTGATACTAACCATATGCCAAGTATCCAAAATTGTCACGACCTACACAATAGAACCAAGAACAAGAGTCGGATTTGGATATGTATTGCATAAGCACAGATAACCAGGGATTACCCATGGAAGCTAAACAAAATGGAAAGAGAAACAGTGGTTCCTAACGTATCAACACAACCTACCACCAATACTTAAAATGAGAAACAACTGAAAAAGAAATGTCTTATGCTTATTTTCAGCAACAAAGATCTCTGGGAGCGAACCAACCAGGAACCGATCGTGAAACAAATAGGCAGGAAGAAATGGAGATGGATTGGACACACTCTGAGGAAACCAGCAAGTGACATCACTAGACAAGCCATTGCTCGAGTGGAACCCGAAAGGGAAGCGACGAGTTGGTCGTCCAAGGGTGACCTGGAGGAGATCATGTGAAGAGGAATTGAAAGCGTGTGGGCAGACTTGGAGCCAGGTGAAAACTACAGCAGAGAACCGAACGCAATGGAGACGCATGGCTGAAGCCCTATGTTCCTCTAGGAATTAAAGGAAATAATAATAATAATAATATTTTCAAATAGACACTACTTGAAGACATTTCACTACTTCAATTACGAATACTATTAATTAGTAATGTTGAAAATGGAAAATTCAAAAAATGTATGAAATTTTAATAAAACAGATCAATGTACTGCTCTCAATAAACTTGTTGCTAGACAGATTAAGTATATTTTACGCCGCCACCATATATCCACTGTATAACATTTTTCTTCGTAAACTAGCAAACTAAACGGAAAATTTTAAATGTACGCAAAGAAAAAGAAGACCAACACATATGACAAAGAGAAAAGGTGCCAGTTTTTTTTCTGGAACACTAAAAGAATTATGTCGTACCGTATCGATATAATATGCATCTGTCGAGCGAATTCAGGATGAATAACTTTAAAGAGTAAACTATCACCCAATAATTAACATGAAGTCTTAGTTAGTTAGGGATGAAGCTTTAGCTACTGCTTTATCCCTCAAACTGCTTTGTTTCGTAACACTTTCATAACACTTCCACCAAGTACAAAGGGATTGGTCTCATTAATGGCAAATCCGAAATCATCCTGGTCTTAAGTAGATGAAACTATACTTGACGAAAAAAATCAATAAAGTACGAAAGAGAGCATTTATATACCTCGTAGTTTCTGGTACATCTTTCAGCGATTTCGATGACGAGGAAGCACTTTCACTGATAAGTGATAATGTAGTGCAGTTTTTTGCCGTAGAAACATTTTTATCATCTCCTTTAGAACTTTCTTCTCGTTTAAATGCATCTATAATTATAGCAGAAAAATCAAATTTTCACAATGATAAAAAATTTTATGGACGCAATACAAAAGCAAATAACTAATTTGGTGAGAAGAAAAGAGCCTTCATTCTATCAATAATATCATTAAGGAAATAGTTTGACACAATCAATCCTAATATTGTTAGCACCTATAATTTTTCGGCATGATCCTTCATTTAAACAGTTAAAGTTACTTAACATTCAACGTCTATGTAGATAACTTGACAGACTCACTAAACGTTAACTACCTTGGTCAAATACTTGGTTCTTATTCATTCTCTACCTCTAGTGACCCCGTCTCATGAAGACAGGCTAAAACAGAGTGATACCACACAAAACATTCAGCCTATTATGAATGACCAGGCACCTCACCTGTTGTGGTGGAATGTGATAAAAGTCAAACTAGCTTTTTCTGACGCCTTCAAGATACCTTCAGACACCAACCAGGTAGGACGAATGCAAATCCTAAAGTATCAGACGCCTTTCATTAATCATTTTCTTACATTTAGGAGGACCATAGACGGAAACTAATCCTGGAGTAAACATTTATTTTACCTCTCTTGCTGATGATGTACAGAATGGCTATAAAAGATATGAAATTGCTAAGCAACTGCCTAAGTTGTAACAGTGTTTGTAACCTAACTAACTACAAGCAACAGGCCTACTTAACCGGACTGCATATAAAAGACAAGCGCCACATAATCGCTGTAATACAGATATCTTATGAAGTGTTTGAAAAGGATAACAAACAGTGAAAGCAGACAAGACTGAGAACATATTTTTTCTATAAGAATTTGAAAATGTGACCAATAGTTTAACAGCTCAAATAGAGAAGTCAATGCTTTAAAACATACCTGACGATTGGTCTTCAGTTAATGAACCTTCTTTGCACGTAACACATACTGTCTCTTTGTCATTTTGATGCAGGTTTTGTCTTCTTATGCGTACCTTCTTCATTTCGGTTTTCAGATTATTCACCTTTTCTGTTAACTGATCACACTCTTGAAACGAAGAATAACTGTCTGCTTGATTTAGACCATCTAGTCCCGTGGTTCCATTTTCCACGCTATCAAGATTACCACGAGAATGACACTGTTTGACCCCAAAAGAATCCCGAAAAGTGTAATAAGAGCATGGTGGATAACCAGAAGATATAAACGGCGAGCCAAAGAGTTCTTCTACCTGTTGGTGAAATAAGTAATCCTCTAATTCAGCTAGATTATCATCTTGTTCTAAGACGCTGGAATATGACCGTTTAGAATCATCGTCATCATCATCTCCATCATCTTCATCCCGATCAGTATCAGTCTCAAAGACGTTCGCAGCAGAGGCATCGGAATCTTCATCAGGCAAGCGACCATCGAAAAATCCAGAATTCGCAAAGGGATTTGGTTCTTCATTCTCTTCTAATAAAGGAGATGCTTTTCTGAGCCACTGGTACGGATAATGTACTCGTTCCCTATAATCGGTACACCTTGTCTGACTAGGAATAACCTTGGCTAGCAGATTAGAAAGGAATGCTGCAGTCGACTTCGATTTCTCACTTTCACCATCATCTAGAAGATTGAACTCATGCACTATTATGGTGTTTTCATTGTCACTCTCCTTAGCTGTATTAATGCCTTCGGAAATTTCGGCTTTCGAGTGCTTCGCGCTGGTAAGAACAGAATTATCATGAGTTTCAAACAAACGACAAAGAGATGGAAGCTCAGGTGCCTCAAAGATAGGATAGTACTTTTCCGACGAATGTACCGAAGACAGAAGTGGTGGGAAATCGGAAAGTTCTTCCTTATGTGTACGCGAAAATGAGTCAGGTTTAGCCTCTAAGTTGTGGCAAGCGATCGGAATAGTTGAATTATCTGATGTTACAGTTGAAACCTTAGGAGCACTCCTTTCACAACTAGTTACACTGCAAGTTGCATCTATACTGCTAAATGCGTCTATAGTATTCTGACTTGTAATCGTCATCGAAACTGCTTCTTCGCTTGCTTGGAGAGTATTATTTCCATTGTTTGAGTTGTGTTCATTTGATTCAGGACTAAGATGAATAAAGAAAAACGAAATAAACTACCAAGATAAAAAAACAATTTAATTCACTGAACATTAACAGATGGACTGGGTCTCAAAATTCACTCAAAGGAAAGATGGAACTCTTGCCCATCCGTCAACGCCACTTCTGCCACTACATGCAACTGTATGTTTCCTGTAATCAAGGTGATTAATGGATTAACCCAAGTATAAAAACAAAAGCTATACACTGATTGATCACTAGGGAGTAGCCAATGCAATTTGTCTAGTACTTATTGTCAGTAAAACTTCCTGTTGATTACCTCCAACTATCTTAACATCTACTATCTACAAAATGTGTGTCCAGCAAGAGGAAGAAAGGATGGTGACTAGAAATCGCACTAGAATACTTTCAATCGAAAATCAGAATGTGCAGCTACTCATATATATGTGTCTATTACCAGAAGTAGGACTTCTGGTCAAAACATGTGTAATAGTACACACTGGTCTTTTGTCTATTATAAATAACTATCATTATAAACAGTTCTACTTGCGAAGAAACCTTTTGAAGTATAAATCATGCAGCGAAATGCTACAGAAAAATCTTACAAACCGTTACAACTTATCATTAAAATGGCTTACTCTACTGATGTATTTGTATTAACAGAAGAAATTTGAAAACCAGTTGAGGGATCAATTCCACTTTCCTTCGTTTCCAATGTCGAATCAGACGAAGTGGCACTATTTCTCAGCTGTGTGTTTGCTGACACTTCAATAGGTTCTAATTTCAGCGCACAATCAATGATTGGAAGATTATCACCTTTGGTTTCACCAAGTTTGAAACGTTCAGTGTCAGTTTTCTGTGACATCTGCTCCGATTTTCTCATTTTCGCATTACAAACTCCTGTAGAATTTGTATTTTGCGATTGCAGCGAATTTGGTTTAACTAAAGGGGTTAATATGCTAGGATGCATGAAACCATTGTTGCAGGTAGAGCCAAACCTTGAGGGGAATCGTGGCAAAGCAGTTTGTGACAGATGGATAGGTGCCAGGCGTAAAGGTGGTATTCGGTGAGCATTAAGGGGGCCACCCCGGAGACCCAAAACCAAACGTAGTGTAGACCCTTCAGTTATGGAGTAGTCTCTTAAGCGGCGGTGATCGTCGAGTTCATCATTTTGCCAAATAAGATGTTGCTGAGTTATTGGAATACCTGAAAGCAAAGCAAATTAAGAATACGCTGAAAAAGATGGAGTAATAACACTCAAGACATGAAACGACGCTAGGCTTCCAGAGTTAAAACTCTACCAATAGACTTTGAGCAAAAGTTTTAAAGCCCAGAATTTTCGCACCAGCAGGCTACTGTCCATTCAATTCCGACAAATAAATATAAACCAACGCCGTAGCGACCATATTTTAACACACGTCCTTAAGTAACCAACTGACAGTTAATTTGCAAAGTGTTCACAAAACGGAGCAAATCTCTATAGTGATTCATATATTATCGGAATTTTTCCTTAAGTCACACTCAGATATTTTCTGAATATCTCTCCGATGGTTAATTTAAATAGTTGAATCCCACTTCTCCAGCCAAAACGTTAATTTTTTTGTCAACTAAGTTTAGAACCACCATTTGACTCGACATTAAGTTTATACTCACATCGAGTAAGTGGAATAGTGAATACAAGTGTTTAGCAGCGTATTGAAATACTATTGGCTTTATTCAAAGAGCTCTGTCAAACAGTAGACATTTTAAAATTATCATCTATCTATATGCTAACAAAACAATTCTTACTGTAGGAATACATATATATATATATATATATATATATATATATATATATATATATATGAATAATGAACACTCATCATAAACAAGATAGAGTACTTAAAGTATGAACGCATACGAAACAAGCTGCAACTTTAATTACACATTTGTATTGCTCTTACATGAAACACTTCCAAGTGCTATTGGTATTTATTTATGATACATATAATTACCTACTGATACCTTGACTATAACTGTCTAGTTTGTCTTGAATGCTTATGTTTTGCCTATATGATCAATTACTTATTAGTGTGAGGTACTCGGTCATATTGAATTTTTCACCTTTCATGTAATTATGTAGGTATTTCTACACATAGGACCACTATCGTCAAAACAAAATCAGATATCTTTACAACTCTCGGGTGCATAATATAGACATTTAATTCAACATACAAAGTCATGCACAAAGTAAACACGAATTATGTGCAGTCACACTATATGTGTGTGACCTAAGGACACTATCCAGTTGCCCAGGTTGAGGTAAGTGGAAAGGGATTTGAACCCCCTAAAAGCTGCATTCACTATGTGCAGGTATTTATCAAACCACCGTTGTACACTGAAGTAGCTGAAAGAAGCAACCCACTGAGAAAAATGGGTATCTAATTAAATGATAAACCATCTGCAAACCATGGGATTCGTTTAATACCATTCAAATTAACTTCTCACCATACAGACTACAACTCACCTTGAAAGTCGAAAAATCTGCATGACAAGACTCAAAATAGTTCATCATTCTACATTTATTCCTGGGCCTCATGAACTGACTTATCCAACCAAGGGGGTGTGGACTCCCATTATCACTTATCAATGGTCATATGTGACCACTCACTTATAGACTATACAGATGTCATCAAAAATCAAGGAAAGGGTGAATGAGAATATCCTGCTGATAACAGAACAAGTGAACGTTCAACTAAGAGTTGAGAAATGTCGGTTCGTAACCACTGATACATACAGACTTCAATATTTAAAGGAAACACGTTTTGAGCCTCCAAATATGGCGATGCAGTTGACGTTGCTGCAAACTGCCTACAGTACCCCTCAAATCAAAGTATTCTGGTGTGGGACTTCCAGTAGGAATTTAACACACTACGAAATACAGGTTCAAACAAAGAACAGACAACAGCCAGGACTCATTACTGAAATAATTGGTATCAGCTCCTTCGACAAACATTTTGAAAGAGAAACTGGACATCACGGAGACATAACTGATCGAGTTTCAACGTGGAGATATATACTTTAAAGATTGACAGACTACATCTAGTCCACTATTTCTTCTCCCTGAAAATAAAACTGTTATTGGCTCCTGTGCTGCACCGGGTTTGAAGTTAGATAAAGAGTTGACTCCACTACTTCCAAAATTGAGTAGCTCATTGAACTCCCTTTACCAATTACCTTGCCATATTCAGTATTATTATTGTTTCCTTAGGTTCGGAGTTAAATATAGCTCTTCAACAACACATCTCTACTTTGTTCTATTTCCTGTTGCCCTCTTCGGAGTCCACGGTTGCCCTCGCATTTCCTACTCGCACGATCTTGTCCACACCACCCTAGGACGACGCACTTGTCGTTTCCCACTCGAAGGTCGGGTGCTCAATGTTGTTTGACGGTCTCTACAACCTATGTCCGACCCATCTTCATCCCCGCCTACATATTGGTTGGACGAAAGATTCTTCGTTAGTTGGTTCTCAAAGTTTCTGGTTGTTAATTGCTTCTGGCCATTTGATCCTCAATATAGAGCGAAGACAGTTGTTGATAGAAAGTCCGCAACCTGTGGGGAATGCTTTTCATGAAGTTTCTGACCCATAGAGAACTGACTTGACATTTGTGCTGAGTGCCATATGCAGTACTTGTAAGACATTCCAGTGTGGTAAGCAAGTGAACTGTTGTGGAATATATAACGCTGGTAGCACACACTATTTCTTCTGCTTCATGAAATTCTCATTCGAATCATCACTCGAGGTTCCTATATTATGAGCAGTCCAAGCTACAGCATAATATCTATTAATCAAACCACATGATTGGACACTTCCCCTTTGTGCGAATCAACCCTGCAAACTATAAAATTGCCACTTTACCTTAACACTATAAGCAATGCATAACATATGAAACGCCGCTGCGTGAATTCCTAAAGTATACGAAACCGGATTTCCCTTATACTGATTACATTAGTGGGAGTTAATCTCTTGCAAGTCTTAGCACGTATGCATTGCGAGGGCGATAACGCTATCAGCTCCGTCACTATCTGCACCAACAATTAAAATCCACACGAAACAATACATCGCTAATACTGACTATAAGGATCAGTCATCACTGTGTTCATGAGACAGTCAAAATGAAAAACTTAGGATACCATCCGTCAATCCAACACCAGTTTACAACAATACCAAAGAATTACAGTTTTGTGAAACCCAAATAATAAGCGTAATAGGATTTGTGAAACCGCTGTGAAGTGCTCAAACAGACATGCAAATTATCCCTTTGGATGTAAAACGACAACGAAACCACTCACGACTCAGTGAGAAAAACACATCTTTTCACAACATAATTAAGTGATAAGTACTTGCACATAAACAGTGAACATACACCTAATTCACTGCTGACTCTGTTTCACGAGTTAAGAAAATGATTCGAAAAATATTGATCAGCATTTAATCATATCAATCAATATTGAGATTGCTCCTCTATAATCGAATGAACAATAGTTCCGGACATTCTACTGCAGACCGGCATTGTCTGCAATCGCAGACGGAAGTCCATGTCAGAATGCATACATACAAGTATATGAGCAGTGAGATGAAGTCTTCACATAGAACAAGTAAAATTACGAGTACATATATCAAAGTTAAATTAATAACGACGTTAATTACCTTCGGCCCTTTGTATCTTAGACTTCACCGACATAATTGTTTCGGCTGGAGATACGTGAAGCTCAAAAGACAATCCAGTAAGTGTCTCTATAAAAAGATCCATGAGCATGATTATTCTTTTCGAAACTAGTGTCAACCAAACACACGTAATGGACAAATGAGGGACAGATGGCAAGTCAGCAACCACAGACTACTTCGCACACTTCGTCTTCCCGCCTAATGTGAGCGTGGAGCGCTTTGCACAAACAACTTTCAATATCCAATATCGTTTTAACGGTAGACGTTAAATATCACGTTCTAGAGCAGCTGTTAAAATTTCACTTGGAAATCTTTTTTGTCAATAATTTTTAATAAAATTGTGTTATATGTTATCTGGATTGATGGGAATTCCCATTTTCTGGCCAGTTATTTTGGTGTCCGCGTCATGTAATCCGACTGCGACACCCCCTAGCATATTGGTTGCAACGAACAGTGTTCCAGGCGAACTGTAGCAAAATGTCGCTATAATGAGAAAGATAGGATAGTTGAAGAGTAATGTCATCTACACAAATAGTCTACTTTATTTAGATGTTGCACCTTTTGGAATGGTATCATTCAATTAAGACTTCACGTCTCAGGATGTTAATTCAGCCTATTTCCATGTGAAGAACAGTCCTTTTTGACGAAAGAGTTCTATCAGTACTTTGAAATCACCTGTAAATGCTAACAGAACCTTCTGTGGGAATAGAAGTAATCATGTAGATGTGTCTCACCGTATGTGTGTTTGGACAGGAATTATCGTAAGTTAAGAGGTTATTTCTAAGTGTATTTCATGTATATTTGCACTGTTTGGTGTAGCGTAACAAGAGTTATATGGACTCAATACATAAAAAATATCTCAACTTTATTAATATTGTGCCATTGTCTGCTTAGCTGACTGCTTGGCTATCAAACGTAGGTGGTTGTCATGATTATTGCAAGTGCAGTGCAGTGCACTCGTTTAAATCTCCTTACTGTGTCACTTAGTGCATTAATTCAGTGTATAGTATTATTATACATATGGATTGTGTCAATTATGACAACTGAATCTAGTCAGCTCTATTACCATCAATCTACGGTCTGTTATACCATTCTCACTGGCACTGTAAACTTAATGCTGCAATGTTTTTGATCACCAATAGTGGTGTTGAATCTTTCCTGAATTTTCCGTTAACATGAGGCAGTACAGATGCAGTGTCACGATAGAATGTCTAGACTGCATTATATGTCATTGTTATCCTCATCAACACAACAGGTCTGCGTATCTTACAATATATCAAGTGTTTCTATATGCTGCTAACACTGTGCATAGCTATTTAGAGTTGAAGCATGTTCAGCTTATATTTGATGGCTACAGATTCCTTAATGTGAGAATGTAATTTTTGTAGTATTCATACAACCATGCTGATTAGACATTACTGAGATTATGGATCAATTTCTAAGTTACACATTTGCAATACTTCATTTAATGTAAACGTTTTTAGTGTGAAGTTGATGTGCAAGTAAGGTTGATGAGGGTATGACACCTCAGCAGTATGGAAGTTTCAAATATTGTCTTGATATTTGCGTATAATCCTTTAATACTGGTAAACATATGAGGTATATCGATGCTTATGGTGTCAATATAAAAACCAGCTGTAAACTACAAATACATTTATTTGCATGAGATATTACTTAGTACTAATAGAATCAGTGTGTTCATAGTGTGTGCTAATATGTAGAATTATCTTTCATAAATTCATGTTGTGTTAGTCCTTACATGTGCTTTATTTTTTTCAGGTATACGGAAGCTGTCGAATATGAAATCAGCGGAAATGTCATTCGGCCAAACTAATGTTAATACTCTTCATCGGGATTTTCTTTTGTAAATTAATGAAATGTTTAATATACTCTTCAATTCTACTTCCTCTAGACTTTTTCAGCGCGTCGCTATGCTATATGCTTTTGTAATAAGTGAATTCGGATCAATGCATGTTAAGCTTAGTTAGAGGGATGGAGATTTACTATAGTATTATGAGACTGTTACTTTAGCCCTTCGTAAGATTTCGTGTCTGTCTCTATACAGTAGCACATTGTAAAAACTAAGTAGGATTTAGCAAGTTGAATAATAATTCTTTACTGTTCGATACGCTAAAATCGCCTTATCTAGCCAGTTGCAAGTCTGTATACTGTTAAGCGCCAAGTATGAAGTACAAGTAAATGTAATAACTTGGGCTTGATAGCTACTCCACTAATCTGTTAATATGCAGTGACATCATCAAATAGACTGTTCACTTGACAGTGAGCAAAGAAACAATTTTCATCTATTTCTAAGTTAGAATTCATGAGCCATTGAATCGGGTCCCAGTGGCTGAATGGTATACGAGCTTGCCTTGTAACCGGAAGGTCCCGGGTTCGAATCCCAATGGGTGCGTACTGCCGATGATTCCCAAACTAGGATGAAACAGCAGCTGTCCAGTACTCCCTGGTTTTCAATGGTTCTCTAACTGATATCAGTCCGTGATCAACTCGTAAAATATTTCTAATATGCCGTTGAAACATGTGATGTTATCTAATATCAATCACTTCCATGATCAACAACTGCGGTGTTTGCAAATCTGCTTTATGAATATTAAATAACTCACGCCTTTATGCATATTATTACCCCCAGTATTTTCTATTCATTTTATGTGTGTACGGTAAACAAGGCATTCATACGTTCTCCCACAAACGCCAAGGTTTCTGGTGTCACAAGTATTAATAAGAGTTGCTTCCTTGGTTACAATACAAATGACGTTCTAAAATATCTCCAGTGGTTGAACCCTTCTTGTAGCCTAGTTCCAGATTGTTTGCCTAGCCATATTCTTAAAAAATGTGCACATATCCTCTCATATATTTAATCAATCTTTTTCCAGAAATGTTGTGCCAGCCGTTTGGAAGGATATTAAAATTGTACTTATACCTAAGTCGTTTAATGAAACATGTTTTAAATTTAGACCTATTGCTATTACCTCCCCTTTTCTGAAAGCTATGGAAAAGTTACTCTTACTTAATCTTCAACCTTCACTTAAAGCCTCTAACGATTCCGAATAATTCGCCTATAAACACAGTAGAAGTAGTTTAGATGCAGCTGCAGTCTTGCATCACAACAATTTCTCCATTATAGTCGTCCACTACCAATTGTATTTTTGTTTGACGAACTTAATGTACATGTGCATACGAAGTGAAATATGTCAAGTGCGCGGACTAACTATTCCAGTGTCTTTTAATTCGCAGCTACACTGTACATAGATGAACAGCTCTCTATCAAGAGTCAGAAAATGCTCTTAAACTAAATCCTTCGAAATGTCAGACTGTTAATTTCAGTTTCCGATGTAAGAGAAAGTCAGGCAAAGCTGTTAATTCCTATGACCGTTGTGAAATTGATGACAGTGATATAGAAATCAAGTCTGACTTTAAGTATCTCGGACTAATTCATCAAACAGCGTATTAACCCCTAATGTATACCACATGAAGGCATAATGTTTATGATCCAGGTATGCAACTCTAGGTGAACGCTTGTACGGTACATTCATTATTTATAAAACTAACTCGTATGTAAGAACTACGGTTTGACCAGTTATACAACGTTTAATATATTTAAACACAATTAACCTACGCTGCTTACTTCTATGACGCATTACGTAAAGCTACCTTAATATAGTTTCCGCTGAAGGTAATCTCCTATATCTACTGCCTTAGTGAGCAGATTAACCTTATCTTCGAATAACAAAGTAAAAGTGGAAATTCTGAGAACTTTCTTGGTAAAAAATCGTCTCTTACTCGAATAAAGTAAATATACCCTAGTCTCCTCAAAAGCGTTTAGAGGTATTCATCCTATCACCTCAAATGACTCACTATTTGCAGTTACAACAGTCAGATACGCGAAATTAGTCCGAAACACAATGACTACGATTCTCAGTCACAGAACATCCTACTTTGCTACCTAGTCGTCTAGTCATATCAACAGAAGTTTCGTCAAGAAAAAGAAGACCACTGGTTCAAGGAAAACTTAAAGTTTTATTTAAAAATCGTGCAAATCCGTCTTTATAGTCACGGAGAAATCACAACATCGCGAAAACCAGCGATCGTAGACCACAACACAAGACGTTATTCTTGCTACGTAAAGTCTTACCTATAACTGAGATCGTCCGTACACTCACCAAATCATCGTATTTTATTCATTTTGTAAATCGTTTCGCAACACTGGCTCTACTAAAGGCAGTCCTGGTTCATGCATTTAGATCTAGTACATTAAGCGTTATTAAATAAATAAATAAATAAATTTATTCTCATAGTACAGTACATGAGGGACGCCAGTTTACAGGCATCATCAAATTGTTACAGAAATAGAACCATATAATTCAATCACAATTTACAGGCAGTAGCAAGATATGCTTTACATGTTCGCTGGAGATTATACATACACTTGATAAATGTTAATCCCAGTAGTATAAAACAGCCTTTTCACTTATATACAATCATTTCTGTGCAAAGTTGGAAAAATCTGCTAGGTTGTCAGTGAGTGCAACACAACAGGAAATACAGAAGTATTGTCTTCGCATTAACAAAAAAACCAGGTCTTTGGTGGATGGATTATAAGTGCCTCGGAAAAAAAATAAAGCTTGAAGTCGATATTCATACATAACTTTGTTGTGTGCAGAGTCCTCGAATTATAGTTCATTGATGTGTTATCTTGAAATCAGTGATGTGTTTATCTCATTTGATCTGCAATGTCATGTTGGGAGTAAATACATAAGCTTCATTAATGGATTTCTACTGCTTGTGTAAGTATAGGTAACACTTACCCTTTAGGGGGTTCTGATTGCTTTCCAGCTTCTTTCAGTTCCCCAAAATACACACAAGCACAACAGATTAACACTTATCATGTGGCTCAAACTTGTTTGATTTAGATTTTCTCAAAATGTATATCTGATTTCTTAACTGATTGCAGACACACTGATGGTACATTCATCTTCTCGAAAAGCTTCAAAGCTTTCTTAACTTCAAACCAGGTTCTAACCCAGCTAGCAACGATTTCAAGCGCACTGCACACTTTTTAGGGCAGGTTTAGGGGCACTTTTCTACGTAAGTAGATGCGCCCGAAGCTTTTGCCCCCACAAATAATGCTGGTAGGGAAATTCTCAAGGTTTAATTTGTTCTTCGAATACTTTTCTAATACCAACCCTGAT